TCTTTCCTTGCTCTCCTTCTCTGTTCTTCCCCCAACTAGACCTTCCTGCTCCCTCATGCTCTTCTCCCCCTCCCTTTTCCCCTCCCCTTTCCCTTCCTTCCCCTCTCCCCCATGCTTCTAATTTACTCAGGATGCACATTCATACCACAAGGACACCTGTCCAATGATGTCCATAACAGCATATTTGTAATAGCCAGAACCTGGAAGCAACCTAGATGCCCCCTCAGTCGAAGAATGGATAAAGAAAATGTGGTACATTTACACAATGGAGTACTACTCAGAAGTAAAAAAAACACTGACATCTTGAAATTTACAGGCAAATGGATGGAACTAGAAGAAACCATCCTGAGTGAGGTAACTCAGATACAGAAAGACAAACATGGTATGTACTCACTCATAAGTGGATATTAGACATAGAGCAAAGGATAACCAGAGTACAATCCACAACCTCAGAGAAGCTAGGAAATAAGGAGGACCCTAAGTGAGACATACATGGACCCCTGCCCCCCAGAAGGGGAAAGGGACAAGATCTCATTAATATGTTCTTACATAATGTAAATAACGTCTGGATTCTTTTTCTTTTGTTGCTGTCCTAATTTGTCAAATGTCACACATTTGTGGTCTGACATGTCTCACAGGGCTAAAATGAAAATTTTCGCAGAGTTGTGCTCCTCCCTGAGGCTCCTCCCTGTCCACTTCCTTGCCTTTTCTGCCCTCTAGAGGCTGTTCATATTTCTGGTCTCTGTTATAAAGCCACCAGTGACTCACCTTCTCACTGTCCCACTTTCTGCTGTGGCTTGCTTCCTTCTCGCACTTCCTTCAGATGGGATGGGCCCAAGCAGGTGAACCAAGACATCTTCCCTAACAACTTCAGTTTAGTCACAACTTCAAGGTCCATTGTGCCATAGAGTATATTATATGTTGTGGGGATCAGGAACTAGGTATTTTGGGTAGGACAAAGGGACCATTCTGTCACAAGTTCCAAAGGTTACTAAATTACTCCTGCCTCCTCCCCCACATGGCGGACATACATGGTCCCTAGAGTGCATATTTTAATCACAGAGAAAAAAATTCTAAACTAGGCTTTGAATAGAGAGAGAGGGAATAGAGAGAGGGAAACCCATGGACAAAACTGTAGTCTGGGGTTTTTCAGAAAGGATGTTGGGCAGACAGACTGGATGTGTCCTAAAGGATATACCTGAAAGCAGAAGAGGGAGAGGGAAGGGAATTATGAAACCCCATCAACTGCAGAGAGACAAACACTCAGGAAAGGACTCTTTGGAGTGCAGGCAGAGGACCCCATCAAGAAAAATGTACAGGTGTGGGCAGATGGACTCTGCATCCATGTACACCGAAATAGTAAAATCTAAACTGGAGTTAGTACACACTGATGATGTCTGCCCGGGGCCTCTTCCCATCATTTTGCAGCCTTAGTAATTTGGAGTGGGAATGGAGAACAGATGGAGACGTAATTCTTAAGTTTCCTTACAGCTGACCTACATCAGCCTCAAACACTTGACCAAGTAAATTGAAGAGGTAATAGTGTTTACTTATAACACCTTATTATTTAACCTGTGAGCAAAGTTAACTTCTCTTGTCTTCTAAGTGAATTATTCCTAAAATCATTTCTCTTATTTGTAAGCTCATATCATCTATAAATAAAGGATCTTTGACCTTTTTTTCTATTTGTATCCACTTTATCTCTTTTCCTTGTCATATGGCTCTAGCTCAGACTTCAGTTATTATATTAAAGAGGAGTAGGAAAAGTGAATATCCCTGTCTTATTCCTGCATTTAGTGGATCTGCTTTGATATTTTTCAGCTTAGTATGACGTTGACAGTGGTTTATTCTGTATTGCCTTCATCGTATTGAAATATGTCCTATTATTCCTAGATTTCCAGAACTTTGATTATAAGGTATATTGTGGATTGTGTCAGAGGCCTTATCTGCCTCCAGTCATGTAATTTCCTCTTAGAGTCCATTTATTTGATTAATTACATTTAATGATTTGTATTTGTTAAAACACTGTGCCTCTCTTCTGATGCATTCTTGAACTGCGTTTGCAAGTATTTTATTGAGAATTTTTGAACCTAAGTTCTTTGGAGAGATTGGCTTCTAATTTTATATTTTAATTGGGTCTTTTATCTGGCTTTGGTGTTATGGTAATACTGGTTTCACAAAGAGAATTTGGAAGTATTCTTTCTGTTTTTATTTTATGAATTCTTTGAGGAGTAGTGACATTAGTCTTTCCTTGAAGTTCTGGCAGAATTCTGCACTGAATCCCTTTGGCCCTGGGATTTTTTTTTAAGTTGAGTGGTGTTTAGCTGGTGTTTCTATTTGCTTGGTTATTATGTTATTAAATTATTTACTTCATCTTGATTTCACAATATTAGGTCTTATACACATAGAAAGCTATCCATTTCTTTTATATTATACAGCTTAGTGAAGTACAAATTTTTCTAAAATATATATTATATGTAGTGTTCTGCCTGAATATATGCATGCATGCCAGAAGAGGGCACCAAATATCACTGTAGATGGTTGTGAGCCACCATGTTGTTGCTAGGAATTGAACCCAGAACCTCTGGAAGAGTGGCCAGTGCTTTTAACCTCTGAGGCATCTCTCCAGCCCTAAAGAAAGTTTTGTTGTTGTTTGTTTGTTTTGTTTTTTGAGACAAGTTTTTCTGTGTTGCTTTGAAGCCTGTCCTAGAACTCACTCTGTAGACCAGGCTGGCCTCAAACTCACAGAGATCTGCCTGTGTCTGCTGGGATTAAAAGTATGCACCACCATTGCCTGGCTAAAGTATAGATTTTAAAAATATGTCCTTTATATTCTCTGAATCTTTTTCAGTGTCTGTCATGTTTCCCTTTTCATTTTTATGTTTATTAATTTGGTTCTTTTCTTTCTTTTGGTTAAATTTGGCTAAAGTTTTGTTAATCTTGTTAATATTTTAAATAATATACTTCATTGATACTTTGTATTGTTTTATTTTTCATTTCTATTTCACTAGTTTCAGTGCTAATTTTGATTATCTCTTCATGTTTACAACTTTTGGATGTTTTTCTTGTTTTTAAAAATGCCTTCAGGTGCATCATTAAGTTATTAATTTGAGATTTCTCTAATTTTTTATGTAGGCACATAGTGCTGGAAGCTTTCCTCTTAGAATGCCTTCATTGGGTCTCTTAGTTTTATCCCATTCTAGTAATTTTCCTTCTCTGACTCCATTATCATTCAGTAGTGTGTTGTTTAGTTTGTGCACTTTTTGTGTATCCTATTGTTGTTTAAATAGCTTTATTCTACTGTGGTAAGATAGAATGCAGAAGGTTATTTCAGTTTTCCTCTACTTTGTGAGACTTGCTTTGTGTCCTAATATATGGTTGATTTTGGAGAAAATGTCATGGGATGCTGAGAAGAATGCATATTCCTTAATGTTTGAGTGGAATGTTTTGTAAATGTCTACTAGGTCCATTTATGATATCATAGGCACCTCTAGGTTTGGGAAAGTTTTTGCTTTGATTGTATTGAAAATTTCTTCTATGCCTCTGTCATGGTATTTTTCTCCTATACCCATCACTCAAATATTAGATCTTGTCATGGTGTTCTCAAACTCTCTCATGTTGTGTTCATATATTTATTTAAAAATTCTCATTGATTTTTACTGAGCCATCCAATTCCTCTACTTTTTCCTGTAACCCTACTTTCTGTTTTTGACATAACTTATTCTGTTGAGGAGGCTTTGCATTTAGTTTTTAATTTGGCTTATTGGTTTTTCTTTTTTTAGTTTCCAGCATCATTTCAGTTTTGCTTTTCTTCAGCAATCCTATATTAATTTAATTTTCATATCTTGGATTAACTCCCTTATTTAATTCAGCTCTTTTTTGTGAGACATTGTTTGCATTATTTGTTCATTTTATAATATTCTTTATAAGATCCTCCAGGTCATTTTCAATAGGATTTATTACTATGGGATTAATAACTTTGGTTGGTCCCATGCTGTCTTGTTTTTCATTTACTTTTGTTTCTGTAATGGGACTTGTGCATATGAAATAGTGTGCTAGTTGCTTGTTTCTTTTTGCTCAAATTATCTTTCCTATTTCCAGGTAGGCATGTACAATGTTCAGGACTTCACCTGAGGGTTTGTGACCTTGTTTTCTTAAGTGGAACATGCATTGAGGATTCCAGGTTCTATCCCTGTACTCTTGAGAGTTTTCTACTCCCTGACTGAACAGTATTCAAAGGGCAGTACACTCCTTGCTGGTCTTCTCCTCTGCTGTCTTCTAATGTGCTTCTGTAAGACTAATGCTCTTTGTGGAGTAAGCTCTGTTCAACCCAGGTTGGGAACGGCAGATATAGGGGGTGTGTAGTCAGCAGGTCTGTGGGGGTATGTGGCTCCTCAGGTAGTCAGGCCCTGAGGTCTACAAGGTGGGCTGTGCTACCTGTATGAGGTGCATGGCTCCAAGTGGTCTTCAGGTATTAGGATCTGGTATCTATTGTGGTATATTCCTTTACACTATGTGAATATATATGGCTGTGATTGGTTAAAACTCCACCTGCAATTTATGGTGAACAGTGCCAGTTGTATGTGCACTGATCTACAGAGTTCTCTGGTGGTGACATGGGATGGAGTGGGCAGGGATACCTGTGAGTTGTGGTTCCATGAGGTCCTCTGGGGGTGGGCCTCAAAGGGAAACTTTAAGAGTGGAGGGGCAATGGTTTTTGTTTTCAGGGTGCCAACTTACTCTTTTCATTTTCCAAAGTTCTGGGAATCTAGCCAGAGTCTACCTTAACTAGAGTCAGTTAAAAATAAGAAAAGGAAACAAGAGGGAAAAGGAGAATCACAGTAGGCAATTTCAGTGAGGTATGTAGTATCCAGATGCTCTGGATGTATTGTGAATTTTCTCATTAAGTAATTTCTCAACACTGCATGGTAGATGATACTCACTGAAAACAATGTCATTTGGAGAACTATTTTTACCAGCTGTTCACAGTGTCTAGTAAAATGTACAGTGAGTTGTTGTAAAATGAAATTTACAATTGCTCTGACTATGAATGGGAAATCCATGTTAAGAATAATGGCCAATAGCTTCTCTTTAAATAATTGTGATTGGATGCCTAGGAGGTGCAGACAAATGCATTTCTTAAGAAGTAGCAACAGTGGTCTCCAGCTTTATAAAGAATGAGTTGCTTGCCTATGGGCTCATATGACCTGCAGGGCTGGGACCCAAGTCGAGGTCTTTGTGAACTTCAAGGCTGTCCCTTGTTAGTCAGTTCCCTCCTTCACCCCAGAGCTACTGTTACCACTTTGTGGGTAGGTACACTTCCCAAATTAGACATTCTGAGCTTATGATTTTCCAGCTTTTTATTCCTCACTAACTTACTCTAATTCATAAAATAATTTCAATCATAAAAGAGAGTAGGATATGAATCTGGCAATTTTGGGTTAAAATTCTAGTTCTACCATTGGTTATCTGTGTCATATAAGGCCATTTTTTGTGCTGTTAACTTTCTTGAGCATGAAACACAACTGACAGTAGTTGTCACAAGCTAACTCGTTAGCTTGTGAGTAATGAAAGGTCCAAGATCCTGAACAAGCCTACCACTAACTATCAAGAATCCCAAGAGAAGATGCACCGTGTGTGTGTTGTGCTTTTTCTCTGCTGCTTCAAACATGAAAGATGTTGGGAAGCCTCACAGAAATCTTCAGTAAGTATAGTTTTGTGTTTTCTCTAAGGTGTTCAAGCCGCTCTGAATTTTGTTGTGGAGAATGTAGGCCCCCTCCTGGAAAATGCCTCTGACCACACACGGGTTGCCACAGTTAATGTGTCTCTCTCACCTCACACTTCCCTGCTTGGAGATCCTGTTATTCTTAATGCCAGCCCCGTGGTGCATCCTTTTGTGCTGTCTCGTAGATCCTCACATCTGTGGGATGTAAGTATGGAGGTAGATAGATTAGAACACTGCAAGAAATCTAAATGAGACTATCTTCTCTGTCTCACTTTCTACTGCTTATTTAGTTTGATTGTGTGTGTTGTTTGTTTCAACCCTTTTTTCTCCTGAGACAGGGCTTCTCTCTGTGTGCAGCTCTGGCTGCCCTGGAACTCACTCTGTAGACCAGGCTGTCCTTGAACTCACAAAGATATGACTGTATCCTCCTTTCTTGACTTTCCAAGTCCTAAGATTCTAGGCTTTCTTACATTCTTTTAATTAATATAAAATGCCACTCTTTGGGACCTTATTCTGTGTCAAATATTCTCAAAATCCTTGAGAATAACAAGGAGCACCTGTTTTACATGTACTTATTGAGGATCTAGTAAGATGCAAGGTAGCTTCATTCTCACTTCATCTAATTGCTTGTAGAAATACACGTTAAGTGAATACACATAAGTATAAAATTGTAAATATTACCTGGCCAATGAAATGCAAATTCTTAGCTAGGTGATACAACCAGGGTTGCTTGAAGTAAAATTATGTGAAAAGCAGTCTGCAGAATGGGCAGGAATTGAATAAATGAAGGAGAGAACATTATGGGTCATGCGCAAAGGCCCTGTAGGAGGAAGGTCCTGATAAGGAGAAGGGACTGAAGGATCAATGTGACCATATCTGAACAGGGAGTATGTGTTAAATCTGACTCCCAAGGAGATGGAGGACAGAGCTTGTAGGACCCAGGAGATATGCTGGGAAGTGCTGCTTATTATCTCAGCCTAATAAAGCTAATTCTCATACTGGGGGACATTCAGACAGGCACACTGCTCATTTTATGAGATTTGAGTTCCCTAAGATCAGGGTTACTCGAATATACTGAAAAGTTATCACATGCATAGCATTCCCCTGGTCCTTCTGCATTCTCCTCTGAGACCCAGAAGAGGATTCAGTGTAATAACATCTTCAGACACAGTTGAACTGCTTTAGGCTGGTTTGGATCCAAACTGTGGTTCTCTCTTGTGTCCCTCCAGGCTCTCAGGACAGTGATTGGCAAAAGTGTCTTCCACCAGGGAAAAAAAAAAAACAACCAACCAACCAAACAAACAAGCAAGTAAACAAACAAACAAACAAACAAAAAAGAGCCCATGGTGCACATATAAGATTTACATCTACGAGTAGGCTATTGGCTGAAGCAAGTCACATGTCCAAGCCATCAGAACTGCAAAGTCACATGGCAGAGGACATGAGTATAGGAAAGAGCAAAGCATCAGAAACATAAAAAACTGTGGCAGAAAAGAGGCATGATCTACTAATGCTTTAAAAGGATCAGCTAGAAGCTGCTATGGGAATATATTCTAGAACAGTGGTCCTCAACCTTCCTAATGCTGTAAACCCTTTAATTCAGTTCCTTATGCTATGACCCCAACCATAAAATTATTTCCATGCTACTTCATATCTGTATTTTTGATACTGTTATGAATGGTATTGTAAATGTTTGACATGCAGGGTATCTGATATTTGACTCCTGTGAAAGGCTTGTTTACTCTAAATGGGTTGCAACCCACTGTTCTAGAGGGACCAGAGAAGTATTTAATAGGATCAGGGATATCCTTGCCAAGCCTTAGGATTGTTAACCTTTAAAATTTGATTCCACTATGAATTTGGCATAAAATGCTATCTTGTATTTGTTCTCCCTTCAGTTTTTATTACAAGGCTAACCAGCAATATGGTGACAAGACTCTGTAATCTTGCTGGTCACTGTTTCCTGTTGTCATAATCTTGAGGTAAACTGAGGAGCCTACTCTTCCTTTGTGGCCCCTCTTGTTATGAGCAATATGAACCCGGGTAAATTACTTGATTTCCTATGTTTTTTCTGTAAAATGAGATGAACACTAATTGCATTACCTCACTTGGGTTGATAAAACAATTCTGTGAGATAGTGCATGTAAAGTTCCACACTGCTGCTTAGGCCATTATAAATAGTTGATATCTAGTATTTGTTCTATATAAATATAGTTATAATCCAAACCCAGCTAGGTTACAAATATTAAAAAACAAGAAATGTGGCCACATAATTAAAATTATATCCTCACTTTATGTGAAAGTAAATGCCTTTAATCTCAGTACTAAGGTCTGAGGATAAAGAATCACAACTTTGAGCCTGTCTGACTACATGATGAGGCCCTTAGCCTTAAAATAAAACCAAATTGTCCCGTTTTGTGGTTCCCAGGTGTAACCCTAGAATTTGAGAGGCTGAGACAAAAGGATTTCTATGAGTTTAAATCCATCTTGTTTTTACAATTTGTGCTATAGGTTTACCTGGGCTATTGTATGAGACCATGTCTCAACAACTAACAAAGCAACCAACTAACTAAAACAAAAAAGACCAAACCCAAACAAAAAAATATAGTATCATAGACTGGCACTAGATAATATTAAAACCAGTTTGATTATGAGATAACTTTATAGTATAAAAACATGCCTTAAATGAAGATCCACCTTTGCTATTGTACAGTAAAAGAGGACACACTCTGTTTTACTTAGGGCTTTACATATATCTTTGTCCCTTCTTCTTTGTTATATACATGAAACCAATCATTTGATCCCTTTTTACTGTGCTCTTTTAAAAATTGTAGTTATTCATCACTGGAGTACCCCAGTTGGACTTTGAGGAAGTAGCACTCTATTCCTTGACAATATATGCCAAAGACAGCCATGAAGCAACAGCATCACAGACCATTTTTGTCCAGATTGAAGATGTGAATGAGCCGCCTGCTTTCACTGGTTCGCTTGCCCGGGAAGATCAAGGTACTAAGGGTCTGCTTTGGTAACAGGAAGCCCTGTGGACATAGATATAGGCCATATAGCCTGTGTCTTATGTGCTTTTATGGTACCCTGGCTATAAGGCTAAAGGAAAATGATAATTGACAACAGTTGTGCTGGTATGATGCTCAGCAGGTAAATGTATTTGTAATGCAAGCCTGATGACCAGAGTTTGACCCTAGAACCCACAGTAGAAGTAGAGAACTGACTCCCAAAAGTTGTCTCCTGAACCCCATACATGTTATAACATATGCATGCCCCCCACATGAACACACATGTGCATGCACATGCATATGCACACACACACACACACACACACACACACACACACACACATGCATGCACACACATAATAAAGAGCTGATATCTACTGAGCCCTGGCTATATGCAAGTGGCATCCAGAAAGCTTTAAATGGATTGTTTTGTTAAATGTTCACAACACTGGAGGTGAGTTCTTCTATTCCCTTATGCCCACTGCACAGAAAATAGACTTAGGTGAAGTAACTTGCTTAGTATTGAAAACTATTCATGTATTTGATCACAGTATGCCAAAATCAATATGTTAAATGTGTCTATTTGTTAAACTAAAAGTATCGTGAGGCCTGTGGTGATGTCTTTTTTGCTCCTTGCTCTCTCACCATGCAGGTAGATCTTTCTGTCACTCTTTCTTATCCTATGAAGTCAAATATTTAATTCCTACTTGTGGAAAATCCATACTGTTCAACTAAAACATAAAAAGGTTCAGCTATAGGTATGCCTACTAACTGGACTGAGTTACTTTTCTTGTGTGAACCTCAATCTCTTCATTGCTATTTTAGATGGGAACTATTCCCCACAAGTTTATTTGTTTCAATCATCGTGCCTAGCAGGTGGCACTGTTTTGGAAGGTCTTGAACCTTTGGTAGGTAGAGCATTACTGGAAGAAGCAGATCACTTGAGGCCTTAAGGTTTACTTCCTGTCTGCTCTGTTTCCATTTCTATGGAGGAGTAAGGAGGCAAAGTGTCCTCGCTGCACACTTCCACTGATATGGAGCCTTCTGTGACTATCCTTTCTTTCCATGATAGACTATATCCCCTCATACAATCAGCCAGAACAAATCCATCTGCCCCTAAGTAGCCTGTTGTCAGGAATTTAATCATAGCAAGGAGAAAAGTAACTAACAGAATCAATCTTGACTTGTTGCCTGTTTTAGTTAGGGTTACTATTGCTGGGATAAAGCACCATGACCCAAAAGTAATTTGGGGAGTATGGTGGTTTGAAAGAAAATGACCTCTGAAGGGAGTGGCACTCTTAGGAGATGTGGCTTTGTTGGAGTAGTGGCCCTGATGGAGGAAGTGTGTTGTTGTAGGGTTTGGTTTTGAGGTCTCCTTTGCTCAAGTATACCTAGTGAGACAGAGTACTTCCTGCTGCCTACATGTCAAGATGTAAACTTCTCAGCTTCGTCTGCAGCACCATGTCTAGTTATGTGCTGCCAAGCTCCACCATGATGGTAATAAACTGAATCTCTAGACTGTAAGCTACCCCATTAAATGTTTTCCTTTATAAGAGTCACTGTGGTCATGGTGTCTTTTCACAGCAACAGAAACCTTAACTAAGACAGAAGTTGGTACCAGGGAATGAGGGACTGAACTATTGTTGTTATAGGCTGGGCCATGCCTTTGTTTGAAGTAATATGGACCATGGGACTGTGAATTAGAAAAGCAGTTGAATGCTTTAAGTGCTACTTAATGGACTATACTAGTAGGGGCATGGAAGACAGTGGTGCTGAGTGTGATTTGAACTGTGGGAGCCTGGATGAAGAGGTTTCAGAGAGAAGAATGTTAGTTTGTGGCCTAGAGATTGTTTTTGTGATATTTTGGTAAAGAATGTGGCTCTTTTTTTTGTTCTTGTCTGAAGAGTCTGCTTAAGGCTAAAGTGAAGAATTTTGATTAATTCCTTTGGCAGAGGAAATCTCATAACAGCCTAGAATATACTTTTTCATGTGGTAATTAGTGGTAACTCTAATGAAGATTTATAATGAAAAGGAGCAAGGTGAACAGGGTAAATTATAACTTGTAAAATTTGAGGAGAAAAAGAGCACAAGTAAGTGGAATGAAGGTAAGTCCTGTGTTCAAGAAGATAAACAGATTAAGAAATGGAATAAAGGGAGTGGTGATCTCAGGGCAAAATACCACCCAGCTAAGTTTCCAACTTGTGTAAATGAATTAAAGAAAAGTTTAAAGCTGGGTGTGGTGGTGCACACCTTTAATCCCAGCACTGGGAAGGCAGTGGCTGGCAGATCTTAGAATTTGAGGCCAGCCTGGTCTACAGAGAAAATTCCAGAACAGCCAAGCTCAGGCAGTGAAGGAAACCATTGAAAGCAGAAAGCTGGTGAGGATGTAATTAAAGGAGGGGTATTATGAGCGTTCTTTCCCAGCCTGGGCTTGCAGCCACCTTCTTTAGATACAGACGTTATATTAACTATGAAACTGTTGGCCAATGCCTAGGGCTTCTTATTGGCTAGCTCTGTCTTAATTATTAACCCATTTCTATTAATCTAAGTACTTCCATGTGGTCTTGTCTTACTGGAGAAGGGTCTGGACCTGTTATTTTTTGGTGGCCTGCATGGCTACTGTTCTGGTGGGTCCCCTCTGTCTACCTTTCCCAGAATTCTTCTTGTCTCCTAGTCCCACCTGTCTTCCTGCCTCATTGGCTGAACAGTGCTTTACTCATTAACCAATAAGAGAAACATATATACAGAAGGACAACCCCCATCAGAGGAGGCCATGCTCCAAGCTCCAACAAACAACAGAACCAGCTTTGGCCACAGGGTTCTGGCTTTAGAGTCAAGAATAGAAGAAAAGCATTATGGAATCTCTCTCCATGACTAAGAAAAGCCACTGAGGCCAGGCATGTGTCAGGGGTGTCCATGAATGGAGGCTGATAGAGGCCAATGTGTGAAGCTGTAAAGGTGAAGTCTGGATTGCCTTGTAGACACCAGAATGTTGGAGACACCAGACCCATGAGATACCTTCCAAGCAGAACTACTAACTGGGAGTGGAACTTGCCCAAGAGAAAGAAATAGGTTGTAGTCAGTGAAGCTGAAAGGTGTTGGAGATCTGAAGAGTGTTTGACATCAGACATGGAGATGTAGAGTTTGGAGTTTGCCCCATTGGTTTCAGTCTTGCTTTGGTCCAGTATTTCCTCACTATGACCCCTTCTCTGTCTTTTCAAATGGCAATGTATATCCTGTGCCTCTATATGTAGGAAGTATGTGATCTGCTTTTTTTAAATTTTGATTTTATAGGGGATTACAGTTAAGAGATTGCATGAATCTCAGAAGAGAGTTTGAACTATAAATCATTGCTGAGACTGTGATAGACTATGTGGAATTTTGAAGTTGGACAAAATGCATTTTTGCATTATGATATGGCTACAAGCCTTTTGGGGACCAGGGAGTAGAATGTGGTTTGAAAGAAAATGGCTCCCAGAGAAGTGGCGGTATTCAGAGGTGTGGCCTTGTTAGAATATGTGTAGCTTTGTTGGAGGAAGTATGTCACAGTGGGGTGGGTTTTGAGGTCTCCTTTGCTCAAGATATACCCAGTGAGACAGAAGAGCACCATGTCTGTCTGTGTGCTGCCATGTTCCACCATGATGACAATGTACTAAATCTCTGAAATGGTAAGCCACCCCATTACATGCTTTCCTTTATAAGAGTTATCATGGTCATGGTGTCTCTTCACAGCAATAGAAGTCCCAAGGGAATAAGGGTTTATTTGGCTTACACTTCTACACTGTAGTCCATCATTGAAGGAAGGTAGGACAGGAACTCAAGCAGGGCAGGAGCTGAAGCTGAGGCCATGGAGGGGTACAGCTCTCTTTCTTCTTCCTCAGGAATGTTGGTGCATTGGTCCACAGGCATGGAGGGACCAGTGGGGAACAGGGTTCAGACGGCTGTGGGTTTGACAGAGACAGCCCTTCAGGAGACAGACGTCAGTAAATCATCTTTGCTTTATTCCAGAGTACTACAAGGAATATATAGGATTGGGGAGCCTGGGCACAGACCATAATTTGCATTAAGTGGCATGCTCCTATCACAAAGCTTTGTTTGTGGCAATAGAAGAGCTCCTAGCACAAGTCTTCTAGTATGAATCTGTGCCAAGATTAAAGGTAAAGATGAATCAGGCATCTGGCTTAGAGAGTTTTCAGATAAGGTCAGTCCTTTAGGTCCAGGGATATTGTCCAGATAAGAATAGGTAGAAGCAGGGAGTTTTACTGGGGAGGAAGGGGATTTCCATGTTGGGGAGCTTTTGGAAAAAGCTGCCAGGCTGTGATAGGCTTCAATCTCGACCTGCAATGCCTTCCAATAGAGGGGAGCTTCTTAGGGTCTTGCTCAACATGGCTTGATTAGCCTGGTTTCTTATAGAACCAAGGACTACCAGCTCAAGCATAGTACCACCCACAATTGGCTGGGTTTCTCCCATAAGAAAATGCCCTACAGCCAGATCTTACAGAGGCATTTTCTCAATTGATATTCACCTCCTTTCAGATGACTTTAGCTGTGTCAAGTCAGCATAATCCTAGCCAAATTTGGTATTTGGAAGTGCCAAAATAATGTGTGCACATAATCAGTGCTCTGTAGATTGACGCACCTGCTTTCTCTTCCCCAAACACATGATGAAACCTTGGGTAGGTTCAAGGTCACATCACCATCATTTAACTTCTCAAACAGTGAGCCAGATGCCAGAGTGCTTGTGGGTAATTCACAAGGGTTGTGTGTTAGAAATGTAGGCCCATGTGGCTATGGTCCAAGCAGTCCTTGAAGGCATCCCTGGTATCCAGAAGGACTGTTTTCTTCACAAAATGGGGCAGCAGTAAGTATAGATGTTCCCTTTTGGAGTCAAGAGTCTCAAATTTCCCAGCTTTATTAAGTCCCCCAAAGACTCCAAGCTTGCAGTTACTTCTACTATCTTAAAACATGTACCATGTGGGCACAAGGCTCCATGAGAGAACATGTGCTTAGCATGTGTGAAGCCCTAGCTTTTCCTACAACATAAGAATAAAACAAACATTGAAACAACGTTGATGTGTTGGCTCTATAGCCTTGGGCTTGTTAGTAATTTTTAAATCTCAGTAGAACCAGGATGATGAATATCACCAATAATGTTAAGTGCTTAGATATTAATAATTACTAAAATTGTTTAATATTGTCATTTAAAATTACAAATCTCCTTCCTGTATATGCAAATGATGATAGACAATACAGTGTTGTCTATATCATCATTATTACCACTGACTTAATTGCAATCACTGTATAAAGCATTTATTTTATATTAATTCCAGTACTTTAAGATTGTAATTTCTATTATCATATATTAATTATATATACAATGTGTTTATTATGACATTTTCATACTGTACATGACATATTTTGATCACATTCATCTCTTGTTATGCTTTATTCACATGTAATTGAATGGGATGTTTTGGGATTTAATACTTGTAAGACTCATAGAATCACATCTATTTCTTCTTTTGGGGCAGTTACTGAGATTTACATCACAGAAGACACTGCCCCTGGCACCATCATTTACAAAGCAGCAGCCAAGGATGCTGAGGATGCTGTGTTGGAGGTAATTTGTGTTTTGAAATAAAGAATACCAATGGTTGGTAGCTTGACGAGATTACATTTAAATGTAAAGACAAAAAAATCAAGCTCTCTCTTAATTCTCTTCAATTAAGTCTAAAACTTACCTTTAACTTAATTATCAGGATACTTTAGGTGAAAACAATTGAAGTTATCTAGATAATTGTTTCTATTTTAGTGCATCTAGCTCTGGTTAGGCAGAACCAGCCTGACCCTCAGTTACTTTAAAGAAAAGATGTTGAGATATTTCACTTCATTTTTAGGGATCTTGGCTACACATACTGTAGAGAAGCAAACCTAGCTTTCTGAGATTAATGTGTATTTCAAAACCTTAGCTCTTATCTCCAGGCTTCATAATACCCCAGAGAGGGAAGAAACATGGAGCCTATGGGCTTCAACTTAACTTCTGACTTTACCAATGGAGATCACCTACCACTTTTGCTTTGCTATTTCAACTGTAGAACTGTGGAAATGCTACTGCCTGCTTTATCTTCTCTTACTGTATGACTCTCATAATCAAACATTTCAAAGAATGTGAAAGTAGTTTTTTAAATGTGAAACATTTTGTAAATGGTAGGATTTATAATACTGTTTTAATTTTTGATGCCGTATGAAATGATTATGGAACTAAGCCAGGATGTTTTTGACTAATGAGTTGATAGGCAAGAATAACATGTTTTAATTTTAGTGTTGTATCTCTTTTCCAAACTGGCTAAAAAATGAGAGGCTTGTTCATGTTGATACTGTATTTTCAACATTTGCAAATAACTGGATTCTTCTTCAAGGCAACCGAGTCTTACAAAATTTTATTTATGCAGTAGATGGCCACTCACATCTGGCATTGTGTACACATGGCTTTTAAAATTACAATGGAACACTATGGTTGTCAAGATTCCCCACACACATTTGTCTCTTCCTCCTCCCAAGTACAATTCCACCTCCAGAATGGGACTAGAAAGGTCACAGTTTGCGCTACAACATGCAATTAAACAACCTAATCATGCATATTGCTTCAAATTAACACGTTCCAGATTATAGTATTAAATCCAGTTCCTAGCAACTGCAGCCACACAGGAATCAGATACCATGCAACAATTGCTTCCTCTGGGTTCTTCATGATAGCTCACCACAATGTTAACATTTTAACATAGAATCTGTGACAGTCCAATAGGTTTTAGTTGTGACTCTAACATGCAATCCAAATCTTTTACTAGTCAGTTAACACAGGCAGTTAATTTCAAATGACGACTCCTGGTTGCTTGCTCATTCAGATTAAACACTTCTGGTCCTGGCCCTATACTTTTCTTCGAAGAGGATTGATTCCTGGAACACATTTGGAAGGCCCATGTAATGTTCATTGTGAATTTTACCAAACATGGAATGCCATTTCAGTAGTGATATAGGCTGTGGAAACTTCAGTTTAGACACACTCCTACGAACATCCTGTGACACAATGAATTAGACCAGATGTGTTATTTAAATACCGTGACTGGATAGTTCAATTGTTTGAACCTCATATTGACTCAGAGATAAACTTGCTCTAATGTGGAAAGAGCTTGTGGCTCTTCTGAGGTCTGACAGATATCGATGATGACATTAATAACTATATTATGACAGCATGTATTTTTATGATTGAATCACCATGATATCATTAAAGTAGATACTGCCATTTGCTGTGCTATAACTTAGTGAGTCAATAGCAAAAGCATGTGTCTTTAATTTATAGACAGCATCTTTTGCTTAAACAGAAAGTTGTAGAGTTAATTCAACTCCAAGCCAATCTGTCCTTAAATCTTGTTGTTTCCTAGTCCTCTAACAGTTCCCAAAGTGTATTTCTTAAGGCATGAGTTTTTTCACATGCAAGACGAGAAAAATGAAAGATCACATGATCTCAGGATCTTAAAAATGTCATCCACATATCTTATTAAAATTTATAATAATGTGAAGTATATTAAATACTCACAGAAATTGTCTAATGAAGGTTTGTTTAATAAGGTTTGTTTTAATTATTTATCAATAGTACTTACAAATGTATCATGTGTTAACATGTTGTGTAATGTTATTGGCATTTCATAGAGTATAAAGTTTATATTAGGTCTTAGTCTAAAACTGACGAAAGATAAATTTTGGGTGAGGATATTGTTTACAGACCAAATGTTAATGAACTGAGGCTGGATTTCATCCACAATCAGGCTCACCTGAACTTCAAGACTTGGATTCTTTCTGCTGTGCCACCAGTGCCTAGGGTATATATTAGGATATCTGACATTGTGGTGCAGTAGATATTTTAAGACACAAAAGATGTGAGACTAATCATCTTTAAAATGAAGAAAATCTGGGCTGGAGAGATGGCTCAGAGTTTAAAAGTACTGGCTGCTCTTCCAGAGGTCCTGAGTTCAATTCCCAGCAACCATATGGTGGCTCACAACCATCCATAATAAGATCTGATGCCCTCTTCTGGTGTGGAGGCAGAATATTGTATACATAATAAATAAATAAAATCTTTAAAAAAATGAAGAAAATCTGAACAAAAAGAAAACCAATGGTTTTCTTGGGCTCATCCAGGCATACTGCTACCCTAAGACATGGAGGGACTAGGAAACCCATTTTATCACAGCTTAGCTCAGCCAACCTGGAGAGGAAGGTCATAGCCTGCAGGAAGGCTCATAGTAATTATTAGAGGCTGAGTGTGAATTCACATGAGAATGGAAAACTGGGAGCAGTCTTGGGTAGGAATACACTTTCATGGATTTTAAATCAAGTAACTCCACTGGATTTTCACAGTGCATACCCAAGAGAGAGCACCTTGTGTGTCTAGCAGAGTGAAAAGGGATTATCTTGAAAAAAGAAAACCTTCAAGCCCTTGTCCATGCAAAGCTTATCTATCCAGATGAGAGAAGGAAGATTTTGATGGAGTTTTTCCCATCTAGAATAAAAATGCATATTTATATATGTTTATGTATGTACATGCATGAATATGCACATACTTTTAGACATATTAAAGCTTCAGAAAACCAAACATAAAGAAATGATGCTGTTTAAAAGATCCCTCACCATAACTATAGAAGAGTAAAGGTAAAAATTACAGCAAACTTCCTATTCAAAACAGTGCCAGTAAAGAAAAATGGAAATGGAATATTTTAAAATTTTTAGGTAAAACATAACCAATAAGAATTTTATATCCAGTAAAATTATATGAAGCCATGAAGTTGAATACCTTAAAATATACTGATATGAAATATACTTATTATAAAATATACATATCCATCTTAATTTTTTAAAGGTAGAAATGACATCTTAATATGAAAGCAGACATTCTCTGCTAACACATCTACTCTTTACAAAGTGCCAAAGATTTTCCATACATGGAAGTTCATCAGGAAGTAAGAAATGACATATATCAGAAACATGGATCTATATATTTCTTCTCATAAGAGAAGAAGTAAATGGAAAATGTAAGCAAAAATGTAAGCATTTTCCATTTTTCATTGACAAAAGGTAAATTTAATAGTAACAAGGTAATGAGTGCTTATAGCATATGGAAAGCAAAATAAAAAACGATATCCTATGCTGCAGAAGGGAAGAATTATAAATGCTCAGTTATAAGTTGCCTGCACCACCTATAAAGTGATACAGTATTAATTATAGCTGCATGCAGATTAGTTGGGATATATATTGGAAACACAGAAGAAACAACTTAAAAATCTTGTAGCTGATACATTATAGGAGAAAATAAAATACTCAGTGAGAACAACAAGGGAAAAAAGAACAAATATAACTCATAGAAACAATTATGACAATTTTAGATATTCAACTAACATAAAAATTCAAAGAAATTGTCAGGGTGAATTAAGAGAGTAAAGGCTCAACTATCTGTTGTCTACATGAAACCTATTTAAATATAAAAAACTCACACTGGTTAAAAGCAAAAGGATAGAGGAAAACGATAAACTCTTCTAAATGGATCCAGGGAAAGATGGAGATGCTGTACTAATAAAGCAATGTTCATTAGAACAAACCAAGGATGTCTTGATTTCATCAGGGGATGATTAAAAGTTGCCATAGAGAACACTCTTCCTGTATCACATTCACATGGCTAGAGGGGTGTCTGATGGTGACAGTTGTTCACTTGAGGCTGAAATTACTCTCTGTAGAGATTATCTAGATGTCTTACTGGTTTTCCTCAGCTCTACCATGATAGCCTATACCACACACCATCCTTACCACACAAACCTCCCCTCTCAGCCCATGAGACCTTATCTTTCCCAGCAATATGGTAGTGGTAGTACTGTTGTTGGGGATTAACATGTATCTTTCTTGGTTATTATATTCAAATTTATTGAAATTCCATTCTTCTTTGGAAGAAATCTGTTTTAAAACAATATAAATGCTTTGGAATAAGAAATGGGTGATAGAATATCTTATTCAACATTTATTGGGTCAGTGCCCTTCTTACTGGTGAAATCAATATATGACCCAAAGGGTAACTCTTTAATGTGTCTTGCCTTGTGTATGGGAACAGTCATGAACATTGGGTGAAATAGTCCAGGCTCTCAGATGATAAGAGTTGAGAGTGGGTGGAGTGAAGAAAGAATGACATTGGAATGTGTTGCAAGCAAGAATGTAGATACATGTAGTTACTATAACAAAAGTTATGTTTATTATGCAGATGGTAATCACACTAGGTTCCTAACTATTGTCCTAAGCCTATCACCTATCTTTCCAAGGCTGCTCACCTGTGTGATGACATGTCTTAGCTGAAGGGTCCTGTCTCTAACAGAAGTCTCTGATTGGAGGGTCAGGATTCTTGGGAGACTCTCCAGCTTCAGGATGGATCAAGGTGGCATTTCCCCAGATGTGCAGAGCAGAGCATTGCTCTTAGTGTCTGCTTACATATTGTCCAGTGGGCATCATGGGGTCTAGTCCTGTGTCTGGTTATCCTGAGTGAGTGATGTCACTGGGTTCTGGCTATTGGTGCAGCCTTGG